CTCTCTCTCTCTCTCTCTCTTGTTAACTTCGATGTCGGAGTTCGTTAAGCGTTATCGACGATATCCTCAATTTCACGATAAATCTCACGTAGACCGCATTGATATTAGATAATAGAACACGTGACGCTTTCTCAAAGAATTAATTAATTAATACGACCTTTATTTCAATATTTAATATTTATTTATTTACGGGAAAAATCATATAATACGAAAATTTTACAAAAGAGATCGAGTAAAATGACTAATAATAATAATAATAATAATAATAATAATAATAATAATAATAATAATAATAATAATAATAATAATAATATTAATAAAAAAGAAAATAATAAATAAAGATTTTTATAGAAAATTAAAAGAAATTATCGGCATACTTTAAAGTAGATGCAAATGATAAGCAATTATTCAAATGTACATATCAATGTTATTATTTAAAGTAAAATAAAAAAAAAATAAAAGATAAAGAATATCTGACCAATGGTAAAAAAAAATTCGGTCATGTTAATTGCAAGAAATTTTATTTTTATTGTCGGTGCATATTTATATGATACTTCGTACGCGTTTTACACTTTGACCTCTTTCCTTTTTCTTTCTTCTTTTTCTTTCTTCTTTTTCCTTGTGATCATCGCAAGCCACGATTGTTCTTCCGACAAAAGATCGCATTGTTTACAGATTAGTAACCTTCGTCGCGTCGACGACACATCTTTTTTTTTTCTTTTTTTTTTTTTGCGGATTCAGCTGTACGCGTCTTTTTCTCGGTGCATCGACCGAGCAAAAGAGAAAGAATGAAAGAAAGAAATAAAGAAAGAAAAAGAAAGAGAGATAGAGTTTCCGAGGAATAACGAGCATTAAAAAGTGCTGCGTCGTGAATGTTTATCTCGAGATAAGCGACTCGTACGCAGGAAGTTTCGTGAATTTCTATTACGAACGGACCATTAATGGTCGAGAATCCGTTTGTTTTAACCAAAAAATCGCGAGAATGTATTATTACACTTTAGGGTGAATCAAAAGTTCGTGCTTTTATCACGTATCGTTTCAAATAGTGCAATGTTTTTTTGATAGTCAATAAAAAATTACTTAGTATGCAAGTGAAATATTTAAAAATGTACGTGAACCTTAGGTTAACCCTTATATTTTATATAAGTTCGGAACAATTACCATCGTTTGATTGTAAATCTCGAATTTTATTATTCTACTTATAATTGTACCCATAATTATGAAAGTGTTCTAACCTAAGTTAAAATTAAAAAAAAAAAGGACTTTATCAGTTATTTCACACAACATTATTTTATTATTATTTCAACATTATATGGAATTCATTTAGTGTTCAAATGTAATTTTAAATCTCTCGAAACAAGTGTTATGAGATAACACAATTAGATCACTTTCAATATTTATGGGTACCATTGACCGACAAAAAAAACATTATTCTACCCACCATCCCTTTGAAATAACACAAATCAGATACATACAAATATATGAATGAAATTTAGGCGAGAAGGAGATACTAGACGAGACACCTTGTATGCGAAGTACATAGACACATTAGAACGTAAATTAAATTGCTTGTCTCTCGACCTTCGTCGTCTTTTTTCTTTCCAGCATGACACGACGACGACGACGACGACGACGACGACGACGACGACGACGACGACGACACTACGAAGAAGTTACACGTAGCCAAAACATGGTGTGTGCGCCCGCGCGCGAGCACGCGTGCACTTCTTCATCGTCCTGCTGCCGACGAGTCGACGACGAATACGACGTTTTACGAGTGCAAATAAATGCACACGCACGATACACCATACGAAGGAGAAGAAGGAGGAGGTGGAGGTGGAGCTTTAGCTCTATAAGCCACGCTTGAATTAAATTATTTTCAGAGAACCGATGCTTAACACGCTCGCCACGTCGTTCGGATGGTAATAAACTTGAAGTATGAATCGACCTCGAATATTCACCACGACTATAATATTCATTTAACAACGGACATTCAAACCCCAAAACGAGAATCATTTTTTCCTTGAAATCGATAATGTGTGCGAGACCGGAATAAACGGTGGGTTGTTTTTTTTTTTTTTTTGGTTATACTTTCTTATGTTATATAATCAAAGAGATAATAATATACACTGTCTACGATTGAAAATGATATAGTATGTTTTTGGTAAAATTCGAAATTCGGCATTCTACAGAATGTACAGACAAATTATGTAAATTTATATTTCACACATTTTCTAGGAATTTCATAGAATGCCAAATGAAAAACTGCCAAAGTATGAAATACATCTCTGATGCGTTTCGAATATCACGTATTTTATTATTTTTTTAAGAATAATATTCGTAATTTTATTTTTTATACTCGATTGACTCGTTAATAATAAATTCCATTGATGGATAATAATGTATGAGAATATTTACAATATATAATCAAACGTGTTAATTTAATTAACGATTTAATTCTATTCAACATTAATCTACATTGGGAAAGAACAACACATATGCTTTCCATTTATACGAGATACAATAAAATTCGGAATAACATGGAAGAATAAAGGAAAAGCTCGATTATATTGGGTAGAATTGTTTGACCGAAGGTACATCAATTTTGTGGTTGTATTAACGTGCTGATACGCGAAGTATCTACTATGTTCATGTGGTGATTACACACACGTCCCATTTAAATATACATATATACATATATGTAACCACATATAACATAGGGACATGCGTGTAAAGGGTAGTAGCATGGTCGTCTTTGTCGTCGTTTCAATGCGTTTACGTATACGAGCATCGTGGGGATAATATGCGCATGCTCTTAACGAGAACAGTGGCAACGCGTGCGTGGGTTCCACCCTTCGATTGCTATACCATAAAGGAGGGTGCGACCAGTTCACCCCACTGTATTAACCTACCGAGGTGAAAAGGGTGAAACGGTGGAACGGATACCTCGTGTGAGCAAGTAGGCCAATACCTCTCTCTCTCTCTCTTCTTCTTTTATTTACTTATCTTTTCTTTATCGTGAAGAAAAAACGTTGGAAAATTCGATAAAAAGTATAATAATTCATTTGACTAGCCGTTGTATGTGTTTTTAAATA